ATAAATAAAATCTATGGCAAAAGAAGAGATTTTTTAATTTCACAACGGTGCGCATATCAGTGGCTTAAACTCAGCCGGTTTATATATAGCGCGCGCGTTACCAAACAAAAGGAGTTTACTACGGCAAACTGCACTCGAGCAAGGAGTTCGATGGCACGCAGTTGCCAAGCGCGATCGACTCGTGATTTTCGAGAGCTCAGAGACGCAACAAGTGGACTGGCGACTCACGTTCGGAAAAATCCATTTCTAACTTTTCACAAAAATGATCCTCGTTCGGTCTGGTTAAGAGAAATTAAAGTGTATATCGTTCGAATCGTATCATAATGTAGGGTCATCGAACGCGATTAATTAACGAGATCAAATTAATTTCTAACCGTTGACAAAAAACTTGTAATGTTTTAATAAAAACTTGCTAGAGAATTAAGACCTTAGTGCAAAGAAAATCGGGGTAATATAATAGGAAATGAATAATATTAATATTTTATGAATGCAATAATTTGATCAAACGCTAATGGATAAATCACTCTTCTTCTAAAATATTTAAAAATTGAATGAAGTCAAGCCATCGTTTTCATCTATTTCAAAATCAATGAATCCTCGCTGTTCTAGATCTTAATCTCGAAATTGATAGGAATAAAACTAAAAAAGGCTCACCACGTGAACGTTGGAAAGACCTACGGGCTGCTCGGTCTGCTTCTTGTCTGTCTTCTTCGCCTGCCTCTTGGCTTTACTTTCGAGGAAGCGTTGCTTCAAAATCAGGGTGTCCTGTATATTTTGCTCGCAAATTCCGTTGAAACTCTGATCGAATTTTGGTGCGCATTCGGTTTGTCTGCGACGATAATTCTGGAGTCTGCGTCGAAGACGATCGATTGCTTGCCTCCTTGAAGGGGGAAGCTCACCCATACCAGGTGCTTGACCCATTTGTTGTTGTAATTGAAGCTGTTGTTGACTTGTCACACTTAACTGTCCGACAGCGTTAAGATCATGAATTGAAGCAGTCGCGGCTACGGAGTTGGGCTGACCGATTACAGGATTTCCAACTAAACTTGGTCCGTTATTATTGGTATTGTTATTGGAATTACCGTTCGGACCCTGCCCCACGCACACTGATATGGAGGCAGGGGCAATGCCGGGGGGGCCTTGCGAGGGCTGGCGAGGCAGAAGCCCCCCGGCCTCCATACAGCCGCCTAGATCCACCGCAGAGTAAGCCAGCTCAGTGATAAGTTATTGCAATTCGTAAAACAAACGAGTCCTCCTCTTCGTACTTATCTCTATCACTAGATTCGACGACGTTGACCTCGTCAGTAGCTCTCGATGCTACCAGTTTGAGCATCCTCCATCGGCAGCTGACAGGCGAGCCGACAACGAGCGGCATTTGACACGCTCGGTTCACCTCAACCTCTTTCTCTTTCTTCACTTCCTCCTTGCACCGAATCCTTACTCGACGAGTTCACGCATAAACGGAAGAATAGTAAAATACTAATAGGAGTACTAGTAGTTGTGATGACGGTGGTGGTGTGGTAGTGTGGTAATGTAGTAGCTTAGTAATAGCAGTAGAAGCGGAAGATAAGAAAGAAGACACGTTCCACGTGAGCGTGACCGATCGCGCACTCTCGATGTTTGGTATCCGTATCTCGCGCGCTTCTCTCCCCCYCCCCCCGCCCTCCAGCCACACCGTCTCACTCTCTCCCGCTCACTCTTTCTAGCACTCTGTCTGTCAATGGAGGAGCGCGTGCGCGCGCTTTATCGAGAATCTCGAGAAGACGAAGAGCGCGCGCTTCGTTCTACCGTCGGAAAACCGCTCGGCACTCATCGTCGCCGTCGACGTCGGCAGCAACGGCGTGGCGGCAACGGCGTGGCGGCAGCGGCTATGTGCTGACGGTGGCGGTGGCGGTGGCGGTGGCGGTGGCGGTGGCGGAGACGGTGGCGGTGATGGTGGCGGGACACGACGCCACGAGGGATACGATGGAAGGAAGGGGACGTACGTACGTAAGGACGGACGGGCGGACGGACGGACGCACGACCGACCGATTGAGAGAGAGAAACAAAGAGGGGGGAGCCAATGGGTCGGTGGAGCGGGGGCAGAGACGGGCTATGGCGTGCTTCGACGTCGGCATAACAGGTAGTCGAAAGAGCGTGCCGCTGCCGCTCTGCTACTATCAACTCGTGCCACCGACAGATGACAGGAGCACGAGACCGAATGTACCGGAGGGATCTGTCAAGGAGAAAAATTCAACGAACGGTTTCGTATGCCTTCGCAAAACCGACCCAACTGCACCAGCTTCGACCAACAACGGACAACAATGACAACGTTGCACTCTCTTCCTCTATTTATCTCGCTTCTTCTTTTTCTTCTTCTTCTTCTTTGCTATACGGCATCTCTTTTTCTACTTTTGCTTGCTTCTTCCTTATACTTACACTTTACGAGTATCTTAATAACGATGCAACGAGAACGTCGATCCTTCAACTGTGCTTATTCTTTCTTTTTCTCTCTTTCGAGTCTCACCTTCCATATTTTATTTCTTCTTCTACTTACTCTTTTTCTTCAATTGCTTCATTTCATTTCTTACTACCTTATTATCAAGCGATCAAAATTTTTTTCAATAATTTCTCGATATAATTTTTTGTAATATAACGTGTCATCGAGCATCGGCATCGAACGCGCCGCGCATAAGATCCTTTAACAAACAATTACATAACCTCACTTTTAAGTACCTCTAGTGCGTCAGCTTGCAGCAACAACACTATGACATTGACAACGTATAACTACCGCGTTTCGTATGCCAAAAGTTCGAGATTATTTTCATTATTGCCTTTGAAGAACCGAACGGAAACTTAACCCGAACGACACTTTAGATTCGGCTCTTCATAAGCGCGCGATGCCATTAACAGAACTGCGCGTGGGTACAAAAGCATATATCGTTCAAACGACGAAACATAATTTCTTTTTGATTCAGAACGCCAACTTGCGACGTCTGCTTCAAATAGAAAAGCTTCATCGATTTAATGCCATCTATAAATGCACAATCCATTTAGAAACATCCTTACCAAGGGGTCAAACTTATTTTCATACATATCTACCTTACCGACGTGATGTGCAACGTAATCGTTTTACCATAAGAACGCTAGAAAGGAACCTTCACAGCAGAAAAAATGAATAAGTGCTCTTAGTTGCACGCTACTTGCTTAATCAAAATCCATAATTGCTCACTTTATTAATTATTTATTTAATTAGTTATTATTGATTGAAATACCAAACATTTTTTTCCTATGCTAAGTAAAGCAACGAAGTTTGCAACAGTAAACAAAAATGAATAAGTGCTCATATTTGTTCACTATTTGCTCAATTTTATAATATCAAATATTTTTTATTTATCGTTTATTAGTTGAAAATAATTATTACACTTTGAATAATTATGAAATGGCACGTCATGAGTGGGAGATATGTTATACACATACGCAACCACAAATTCAAGGCGCAAGCACACTTGGAAAAAAATATTCCTTGCCAGCGTTCTTACGGTATTCGTTTTAATATTAAACGATGATAAAATAGCGAGTTACATTACCGTTACAGAAAAAAGTTTTACCACTTAGCAAACATTTGAACTTTCTGAAAATGTTAACGGTAAATAACAGCATTATCGATTATTGCAAATACATCAAAACTATTCAGAAAACATCGAGATGACAGTACTGTACAAAAATTTATAATATCGTCTTCGAAATACTACTGAAGTCATTTCGTCTTACATTAGACTACTAGAAAACTCATTATTAAAGCTAGAAAGTCCCTGCTTAATACGCGACGATATTCTTGGAATTCATCCAAAATTAGATTTTTTAGTACTCCTTAACATATATTTCAACATTGCATTTGACACATTTCGAAACTCTCTATTGGTAACGAAAACTATGTAACTTATGTCTAACAGCTGATTGGATAGTTTAAAAAAAAACAACAAAAGTTAATAGCCAAATTCATTTTTAAACTATGAAATTATTATTCAATATTATCTATTATAATTATCTATTATAATTATCTATTATTATTATTATATTAAAAAAATACAATAATATTAATCTTCGTATTTTAGTTATCTTTTTAACAGGCGCATTACTTCTATCGTTGCTTATCGTATTTAATTATAGCATGTCTATGCTATCATTGTGTAATAAGATGCTTATATGAAAGAAGTATGATAATGTAGAACGAACTTAATTTTACAATTTTTAATTATCTGTTATTAGATATTATCTATAATGTATACAACAGATAGATATTGTGTAATAACATATATATGTATATATACATATAAGCACTGATCTTATAAAAGAAGCCGCAAGAAATATAGTAGCAAGATCAACACCGGAAAAGAATAAAAAAAGCGCTCGTAACTTTCCTAAGACTGTAATAAAAATCTGAAAAGTTGCTTAAAGAAATATGGCTAATTACTAGTTAACTTATGTCAAATAATAATAACCAAATATTACGATTTTACTTTTAAAAACTTTATAACAAATGCACGACAAAAATGTACAACAAATTTTTATCAAATTTGATTTTGTTTGCGATATTAATATTAATAATAATACAAAAATCTTTTTTAAATACGAATTCTTACTATAATATTATATTCGAATTATTAATTCTATGTAAATAATTTATGCGTAGATAAGATGTTAGTTATAAAGATATTCAAATATTTTTCATCTACGATAACATTCGCATGCGCGCGCAATGTTTCATAAAAACAAGATAATTATTGGAACAATATGGGGACATTAAAAACCCATAAAATACGATCCTGCGTTTAGGATCATATAGAGCGTATATATGTATTTCTCAAAATATAAGTAGACAGATCATTCGTGAGAATGGAAAACCACTAAAGTAAACATATTTAGATGTGCATGTAGTTATACTACTACTACTATTACTACACTACGTACATAGTAGGTGTTATTGATAGTGTAAAAATACTAAAAACATTCACATACATGCGAAATTGTAGTCGTAAAGTCTTCAGGTGTAAATCGTACATTTCCGTAAATGTTCGGCTACTCGCGGAGAGCGTTCTTTCGACACTCGTTAACATCGGAATCAGTGGCGTTCGGTATTACGCGATCTACGGTTGTGCCTGGCATTGCTGTGGTTTGTTCGATATCTCGCATTTAGTCGTATTATATCCAACGTGTCTCTTCCGTAAAAAGAAAACAAAGTTTTTAACAAAAATTCGCGTTTCTGGTTACAATAAAAAAAGAAAAAAAAAAGCGAAAGAAAATAAATCCGATTACGTATTTCGATATAACTGTACCCTTTCGTATTTGTTCAAAGTTGTGGTAATTTCTGTCGTTATTCGTAAATATCAAGGGAAACCATTCTCGTTCATCGCTTTTTGGTACGTGGAAGAAAAAGAAAAAGAAAGAGAGAGAGAGAGAGAGAGAGAGAGAAAGGGATCATCGTTACATCGTTTTTCAGTTCGGTATGTATAAAAATTATGCGAATTTATTCCGTCGTCATAAAACAAGAGGAGAAAATAAAGAGAGAGATAGAGAGATAGAGAGATAGAAAAAGAGAAAGAAAGAACAGCGAACGAGAACGAACATGGAAGAGCGTATCTAATATTAGAAAAAGCGTGATAATTTTTTTGAAACGCTTGCTCTCATCTGAACGTGGAACGAGGATGAGAGGAGGATGTGTGTTGTATATACGACTATATAACTTGCTTGTTGTGCGCTGCTGCTTTCGTGTCGTCTTTTCTCTCGACCTGACCAAAGTGGCAGCCAATAGAAAGCCGTCTTCCTTCGCGCCGTTACTTTTCCCTTCGCGTTTCACTTCTCCATCTTTATCTACATCGTATACTTATTCCTTTTCCTCTTTCCGCCTCCCCTCTTACTCTCTCTCTCTCTCTCTCATCTTTTTAAGTTGTAAAATAAAACAAATAAAGAATAAAAAAAAGAAAGGTCGGACAAATTCTACCTGAATACTTACTTACTGCAAGTATTTGCACGATGACGAATTTCACGCAAAACTAAAATAGCTATATTCCTGGTTGCTTTTTTTTTTTTCTTTTTACTATAGTAACATCTCGTAGAAATTCTTATTTTATACTTATCAATCGAATATAATATTATTGCATATAAATTAAATACAATTTTATTTTTATTGTTTATTATCGTTACTAAATCATTCGTGTTTTTCCATCAACGATCAATTACTTTTTTTTTTTTGACGAAATTCTAGGGGAAAATAAAAAATAGAGAACTGGTAGATCAATTAATCGATTATTTGTTTGTTCATAATTTTGTATTTCTCCTAAGTAAAAAATGTTGAGAAACAATTTTTGAACAATTTTACTTTTTTATTTCTCCCACTATGAGCCACGGTTGAAAGAGTTAAATTACAGAAATGTAAGGTATTTCATTTTTCTTTTTTAATTATCGCTGACATTTAACGATGACAAACAATATTGTAAGTGAATATGTGTATGAAAATTCGACTGTCTGCTTAAGTCGTTACAATGACGTTAAAAATTTGCTAAAATATCAGAAGTATGTTTAGCTGTATTTATTAATATTTAACATTAATCAATCTTTGACCCTATTAAATGATTAAAATGTTAACGTATGCAATAAATTTGAAAAAAAAAAGCTAAAGGCGTTTCCTTTCAAACTCACTTGTGCAGACTATTTGAATATTTTTATATTAATAAGGTGATTCATTTTGACAACTGTAAAAATCAAGACATTTTTTTCTTTCTTTTGTTTTTTTTTTTCTCACAACGAAATCGAATACGCTTTTTTACATAAATAATTCATAGTTTCGTCGCATACAAACTCATATGATTATTTTTATTTATTGGAAAAGTACCGCTAATCCGCTGAAACCGGAATTCTGAACACGAATATTAATTATAATCTGATAAAAATTATGATATGATTTCCATCCAGTGCACGTTCGTATATTCTTTTAAACGAAAGATCCAACACAAATTGTTGGAGATAATTGTCTGTAATATATTTTTCAATTTATTGAGAGCATATATTATTTCTACAAAAAGAAATAAAAATAATAAAACGAGAACAATGATCGCAATCGAATTGGGAACTGAATTTAATGAATAAGATAATTTAGAAAGATAATATTCTCTATAATAATCGATAAGGTTATTGAATCGATGAAAATAATCCAACGCAGGAAAGATAAATAATCATCTTGTTAGTCGGAATGATTCAACTTATTAGATTATATTTCTTCTAATCGATCGAAGGATCGATCGAGTTTCTTCGATATTTCGGAAGCAAAAGTTAAAAGATTAAATTTCGCTTTATCGAGTATATTCAATATTTGTTTACGAATCCGATAAAAAAGATCAAAAACATCTCTACAATCTATTTAATTCTATGGACGATAACATTCTTTGCAAATATTTGAATTTGCGAACGACTTTACGCAATACGTGAATGAGTTGATCAATTTTGAGACATGGAAGAAACAATTTTCGTTTAATCGACACTCTCGTATTATTTATAATATTTTATTAAAAAAAAAAAAAAGAAATAGAGAAAGAACATCAAATATATAAAGTACGTAACGTCCAATTTTAAACTAAACATTTCATCTTTTTTTTTATTGTAAATATAATATTTGTCTTATTATGACAATTTGTTAAACAAATGAGCAAACGATATTCAATACTGTGTCATATTGTCTCGTTTAAAACAATATGATTACCTTACTGAATAGTATAATTAAACATCTGGTTTCTGTGTATTACAATTTTTTTATAATTAGTAATTCAGTAAAAGAAGTAATTAAGCGATTGATTATCAATATTAAATTATGTGAAATTCGTTTTCTGAAAGTTATTATTTGTCATAAATTACGTTATCTTCATGCTGAATATTATTAACACGTCATTATAATAAAACATTAACATAGATTATTTTCTTTTCCGGGTTATAAAAGTCATATGTAAACTTGTGCATTAAATTTATATATTTTCGGCATTATTAATAATGCAAATAATTTATATAGTACATATCTAATAGAATTTAAAATAAATTGTTTACGAGTAAGAGTAGAAAAAAAAATATACAAATTAACATTTAATTTTAATAATTTTCCTTTTAACATACGCTAACTAAATAATTAAGTTATAAATGAATAAATTATTAATATTGATACGTTGGTAATATAAATGTCAATTTATTGCTCTAATATTAAGTAACAAAATATTTTAATTTTTCAAATATCGAATTCTGAGATGAAATCTGTTTGAACGATGAGAACCAAATTAATTCTGACCATTAAAATCCTTACAATGTTTAATTATTTTATTCCTGTTACTTTATCGTAAATTGAACATTTTTTTTTCTTATTAATTCTCTTTTCATTGTCATTCAATTAACAGTCTGTTAATATTTGTATGAATAATCTTAGGATTTATATGGAACTATCAGCTGATCAAATGTTGCTCGTTTAGGTTTGTACCTTTAATAGTAATCGTGACGTATATTTTCCAAAGTCATTTGATTTCTTTTTATCGCAGATAATACACAACGCATATTTTTCTATTACATTCATTCGAGACTCGCGATTATTTTCATGTAAAATTAACGTGTTTCTTTAATCTTTATAGAAGTTTAATTTTAAGTACACTCAAAAATTCTCCATATTTTTATCTTTCAAAATCAAACCGATCTATACAGTAATCGAAAAAACATAAATTCGACTTTAACTTAGGATTATAAAAATGACTCTTAATAAATTGACTAATAATTAATTAGAATTAAAAACGAGTACGTTCTGTAAACAATAAAATAAACATACAAAAATATTTGTTCGAGCATATAGTCTTATTTATAATCATCCACAAAATTATATAGTAATTTATCATAATTCACTGATAATAATAAAAATTGTACCATTTATATAAATCGTCTGGAAACGTTAAAATTATCATTATAAGATTAAAAATAACGTGAAAGTTAAATCCTAGTCGAGTTTCTCTTGTCATGAAGTTTGTTTCGTTGAATAGGAACGTTCATCGTATAATAATGTTGAAACGCATTAGAAAATGTTAATATAATTTATATATATATATAATTGAAATTTTATTAGAAAATAATTCAACAATTAATTGAATGTTCGTTTAACAAAAGAATAAAAAAAAAATAATCTACATAATTCGTACACTCGTAAAATAAATTGATTACGAGCGTATATCGTCAATATGTTAGACAATATATGTTAGTCAGTAGTTCGATCAACAAATCCGATACATTAAAATCAAATGATTAAGTAACTAATGCGTTTCGCAAAGTTAAAAAATTGAAAAAAAAAAAATAAAGAAGAAAAGAAAAAGAAAGTAACAAAATCATTATTTTATTCTGATTCACTTTGAATTTGTTTTTACGATTAAATGAAATGCGTCTTTAATGTTTTCTTTTAAACTGGTTAGGTAATCGAACCGTTGAACAAAGTGTAATCCACGTGGAAAAGTATTATTGCGCATCGGTCGCGCGTGTTATAAATATTTATTATGCCTAAAAGTACGTACGCGTGTTTGTAAATTGCATATTGGGAATAAAATTAACACGAGTTTCTCTCGTAAATATTTTGTCCTTACGTTAGTGAACGTTAACACTTCTCGCAATTGCATCGATCGATCGATTGGTCGTATAAACAAGATATTATAAATGTCAGATAAGCGAATCCCTGCTTTGCTGTTCCTGGAACTTATTTTTTCGGTATTTCAAAGCTCGATTATTTTTTTTCTTCTTTTTCTTTTTCTTTATCATTTTATTAGACACGATCGACGATTCGTTGGCAACGATTTTTGTCGATTTGTTCAAATTTCTTGGATTCTATTTTTAAAAGGAAGGAAACAACGACAACATGATTCGAAATTAGCTCGAAAAAGACGAAAGAATTTTTCGGAAAGATAAATAATTATCGCGTAAGCATTACTACACTATTGAATCGATAAGAACATATAGACACATCATCATATGAACAAACAAAAAATATTAAACACGTGCTTGACCTACTCCTTTTAACATGACGTATTGTGCGTACTGATTGAACATTGTCCGTTGTGAAATAGTTTATGATATAGTTTCGATCGCTTATCCTAATGAAAGATATACATGTTATTACTCTTATAATCAATTATATTTTTGTTAGATATCAAAAAAATAAAATATAAAATAAAATAAAATAAAGTTCAATTATATATTCTTCGTTATTCGTATTTTGATCGTCTAAAGTTTAACATTTTTGCAACGTAAATAACGCTGCAGTAATACGCATATATTACACGTTGATAATGATATGCTTTGACGTATGTAAAATAATGCAATAGCGTAAAATGAATTATTAAATTGTTAAAATATGAAATATATTTTCCTTATTGTTAGAAAAATAATCTATGAGATAAAAAATAATTTTTTTTTAACGATATGATGTACATAAATAATTCAATTACGTAGAGTAAGTAATACACACACAATTATTCGATTTGATTATTTTAAAATGAAATAATTACAGAAATATACTCGAGAAAACAAAATAAATATAGAATAAAAGGGATAAATAATATAAAATGTATTTTTAGATTATTTTTAATTATATCTAATTGATACCATTTTTTACAGATAAAATTTTTTCCTACTATACATTAATAGATATAAAATATTGTACGCTTGTTGTACGTTGATAAATGTTTACGGACTTTGAATCGTAACCATATTACTGTTAGTCGTCATTATTAATAAAAGTGTAAAATAAGAAAAGTAACAGTCTACTTGAGCAGTGTTGGAGAACGTTGTTACCGTAGTATAAAATCGCTCGAGGTAAGGGGATTAATTTCATACGAACTTTCACTCGTTACTTGTGGAAAGTCGTAATGTTATCCTGCGTGTGTTGGATACTTTCAGACTAGGTTGAGAGACACGAATTTAAATTCCACGCAGTCGTTAAAAATATAACCTCGTTTTGTTTTGTTTGTTTTTTCCTTTTGTTGAACGATGCAAAGTATTAATTTATCATCCTTTTTTGTTATCTGTCCAAACGTTCGTATCGTTGAAACGTTAAAGAAAAGGAAAAAAACAAACTACTCAAAAGTAAATAAAAAAAAAAACAATGAAAGATATTGGAATTAGGGAAGGGGTGAGAAGGAGAGAGAGAGAGAGAGAGGAGGGGAGGGTAAAGAAAACAAGCAAATAAATTCAATTTATATAACACAGGTACCAACGAGCAAATAACAAAATGCTGCAAGTAGTAGCAGACAGTTGAAAAAACGTCATCATCGTAACGCGTATATACGATAAATATAATGATGTCGTATTGTGGTTGTGTTCGTGAGACGTGATTTGTTATATTTGGTGTACACCCGTTATTACGTAACAATTTAATACGATCGGTTCAACGTGCATCGCGTATCATTCATTCGACCGTGTTCTTCTCATCTCTCTCTCTCTCTCTTGAAAAAGTTTTAAATTTCTTAAAGTATCCTTTCACGTTGAAACAATCCAACTTGTTTTGACACTATTTTGTAAAGTACCGTATAATAACTATACGATTGTTTATCATTTATACCAATATTATACTCTCCAATCCGTGGTTTATTTCTTATCGTTTATTATAGCGAAATCTAAATGTAACAGGTGCCGTGCGTAGAGACATTTAATAACAACATAATATAGGGAATAAGACACTTTTTTAATTTTTATTTTGATCACGAGTTCTTTCTCGCCGCCGACGCGCCTCTTTTATCTCGAAATGCGCATGCGCCGTCTACGCGCGTGTGTATTTCAATTTATAACGAAGAGTGTTAGAGGGGAAAGAAGAAAGACGACGGCCGTTGGTTAGACGACGATGACGACAACTAAAGTCTCGATCAAAGTTCAAGCTGCGTTGTCACGAAACTTAATTCCTTTAATCATCGAATACACGGCCTTGATAACGCAGGTATCTTTTTTTTTCCTCAAGAAAAACTTACTTCCGTTCTTAGCTTTAAACATTGGCGGCAAGTATCATTTATATATGTATACGTATATGTGGCTGGTATTAAAAAAAATACTTTGAAACGTTTTTATTTTTTTTGGTTTTTTTTTTATTTCTTTTGTATCTTTTTTTTATCTTTTTTTTTTTTCTAACGAAACAAACTCTCATTCCAACGTAAAGTACCATTAAGAGAAAGAGAGAGTATGTGTCATATTTGTACTATTCATTCTAAACCTATTCCTTATTCGATTATCAAGCCACGCATTGTTATATCTATCAAATCGTAGATAAATACAATTAATCGATACAATCTAAGACGCGTTACGATATAGCAAACTTTATTTTTGCCTGACATTGTTCTTCACTAGTTCTAACTTTTGTTGTGCAATCCTCCTCACGGATGCACGCGCGCACATTATTCAACACGCACACACGCACACGCGTATAACACGTATATATATATATATGCTATACGCGCGATCGTGTCAGATCCACTATAATTGCGACTTTAACTAAGGTCAACTGCTTCGTCTCCATTCACCCTGTTGCATCTTCATCCTCTCGATGGTGCAATTTCGTCGCAATGAGCTTTTACCGTGCAAGGATGTGACCGATAATTTACCTCGGTATTAGCTTTCGTCGACGGAAACGCGTCATTTTTGTTTATCTGTCCATTCATTTAAGAAGATTTTATTCCTTTTCAGAAGCGTAGAAAGGTGATACCAAAATGGCGGAAGCTCATTCAGCCGTCGCATTCAGTTTTTCCATCACCCACGAAGGTTTTGACGTGAACTTTGACCGTGAGGTACTAAATCTCGTTTGGTTGTCCGGCGTACGATCTTGGAAAAAGAGATTCTTTAGATTTATGGTAAGTCGAAGAGAAAATGCTCTATAATGTTGGATAGAAATTAATTTAATTTATTTTTTACATTTTAGAATAACTTGAGGAGTGGTGTATATCCTGCGTCGTTGGGAAGCTTATGGCTTACCGTTATTATTGTCACCGCGATTCATTTCGCCGGATACAAAGTTCCTTACGATCTCGTTGGTAAAGTTGCACCATATCTTTCCGGGTAATTTTTATTATTTTCATTTAATTATTAATGTTACAAGAAATAATAATGTCCTATTTCATTGGCATGTTTTTTTTACTTTTGATCTTTCGTGTTTTAGGTCTTCTATACCCGCACACATCGCTGGTTCGTTTGTAATCAGCGTACTTTTGTGGTTGATCGTCATATATATCTTACGATACATATTGAAATTGCTTCTGATTTATAAGGGCTGGATGTACGAGTTAAGAGGAAAAAATAAAAAACCTTCCAAAATGACTCAGATATGGCTCATACTCGTAAAACTTCTTTCTGGTTGGCACAAGCCCATGCTTTATAGCTTTCAAGGTTCGCTGCCTCGACTGCCTCTTCCTTCGGTAGAAGATACTATGAGACGGGTTAGATAATGTTATGCTTTTTTCCTTTCATGTGCTATCCATTAAATAATGTTAAATAATGAATGACATAGGAAAAAGATTATACCTCGAATCGACAATTCGAATGAGGAAATTTTTAGGAAAAAAGTAAAATCAAAATAAAAGAAAAAACTGTTATCGAGACGAATTCGAAGAAGCTTCTTAATCGATTGCATACGAATAATTATTTACAATTATCATATTGTACGCGGTAAAATTAATGTATTATTTATTTTTCGTAACAGTACCTTCGTAGTGTCAAACCACTATTGGACGATGAAAATTATATTCGTATGGAAAGATTAGCTAAAGAATTTCAAAATGGTATAGGCGTGAAACTTCAACGATACTTAATACTTAAGTCTTGGTGGTCTACCAATTATGTATCCGATTGGTGGGAAGAATATGTTTACCTTCGAGGTAGATCGCCGCTCGTTATAAATTCTAATTTTTATGGAATAGATGCCATTCTCATGCATCCAACTACAAATCAAGCTGCACGCGCTGCTAGCACTATTCATTTTTGCTTACAATATAGGCGGCTCATAGAACGTCAACAACTCGAACCGGTTAGTACGATATTATAATTTGAAAAAATTCTCTTGTTTTATATTTAAGATATTACGTGTCATTCGAGATTATTATATTTTGCTTCGTTTTGTTATTTTGTTTTATTTTTTAGATTTTATTGCAAGGTATTATTCCTTTATGTTCCTGGCAATATGAAAGATTATTTAATACTACAAGAATTCCTGGTATTGAAACAGATAAAATAATTCATTATCAAGACTCCAAGCACATAGTTGTATATCACAAAGGAAAATATTTCAAAGTCCTTATTTATTACAAAAATAGAATCCTTTTACCTTGCGAAATAGAATTGTAAGGGCCTTTTATATTAAAAAATAATTAGATTATATTATTTATATTTTGTTCTAATCGAAATTCATTATAATTGATAAATGTTCATTGTCTTTAGACAAATTCAACAAATTTTGAAGGACAAATCTGAACCAGCGGAAAGCGAAGAAAAACTAGCTGCATTAACAGCTGGAGAAAGAAAACCTTGGGCAGAAGCCAGAAATGAACATTTCTCGAAAGGAGTAAATAAAATTTCTTTAGATATAATTGAAAAAGCAGCATTCTTTGTTGCCTTAGATGATTTCCCATACGAATACGACACTGTGAGTAACAATAATTTTATTAAATATAAGCATTTCAAATATCTCTTTAATTAAATGTTAATACAATGATTTTCTATTTCTAGCAACATCCTGAAAAATTAGATAATTATGGCCAAATTTTGTTACACGGTAAAGGCTACGATAGGTGGTTCGACAAGTCTTTTACTTTATGCATTGGAAGTAATGGGAGAGTAAGAGATACGATTTTGCTAGCAAAACTTATAAAGTCGTAAAATCGTAAGTGTATCTATTTTAACTGTTTGATTATATATTTTACAGATCGGCTTTAACGCAGAACATTCTTGGTAAGTTGTTTTTTATGTAGAAAAATACATCAAGCACGAATAATAATTATGTGACAAACTGTTCGTGCATCAATGACGATAAGGAGATTGAAACATATATGATAGTTTACTCGTTTTTTATATTTGTACTTTGTTTGTTATTATTTATTCCTCGTATAACGTTTCTTCAGTCTTTGATATTATTTCTTTTTTTGATTATTATAATTTCATGCAAAAAAATTATTTTGTCTAATTAGTTTCACAGATCAAACTGATAATAATTTAATTTAATACAAGAATTTTTGTAATACAGAAATAATATTATCATGCAATTGCATGAATATTTATCAAATTATATTTACTTTAGTAAATTTTATTCTGAGATATGTAAACAATAAGTACTGCAGGGCAGATGCTGCGGTGATGGCACATTTCTGGGAATTGTTAATATACGAAGAAGCCCACCGAGAGTAAGAATTTTAATTCGAACTGAATGGTTTATAAATGTTTTATATCTGTATTATTTTCTCTTTCTATGCTTGGCTTGGTGTTGGTAATATTTTATTAGGTGTTGGTGATACTTTTTGCTTTGTATAAGCCAAAAAAACTTATTTTTTATATTTAAGTGTTTATCTTTGTTTTTAAAAAAATATCATGGAACGGATCTTGCTTGATACAAATATTATCAAAAATATTTCACCTAACTTGTATACTTGAAATATCTTTATTACTTTTAATATAATATTCCAAAATATTAAAAAAAATATATATATTTTGTTAACATGAAAGATTGGAGGAACTATATAAATGTCTTATTATTTCTTTGTTTCGATCTCTACAGAATCACCGATGAGTACTTGACGGTAAAGGAGTGATCCAAAAAATATTTGTTAATTTATTTATTCATATTTTGATCTTCTGCTTCTTAGGGCTGATGCACCTGTTATGGGATCTCTCTGGGAATATGTTATTGCTAGTACTTTGGAGACAGGGTAATTCTCTTTTTATGTTTGGATTTTATTTATGCTATATTGAAAATAACACCATTAACGACCCACGTTTATTTATTGTGCTTTTTTCATATTTTTTAAGTGTTTGGTAAATGTGCATGACTAACAAACAACCTAGTAATTATCTATTTCTTATGTCCCTTAAATATGTAATTTTTATTATTACTGTTCTGAAAGAATTGCTTTAATTTGTAGGTTGTAAAAATAATTATATTTAAATAATACTCCTTAGTTGAAACTGTTATTTATCTATCAGATACAAACCAGATGGAACCAACGCAGGTACTCCAGAATTTATACCACCAATCCCTACCCGACTCCAATGGGATTTGTCTTCCAAATGTATAGAATCTATAAATCATTCTAACGAGGTATTCAATCAATAATAAACACGTACAAACGCATATAATCATACATATGAGAAATTATTGATAACTTATTTTTATTCATAGATTGTACAGAAATTAATAAATGATATTGAATTGCGTATTTATGTTCACGACAATTATGGTAAAGGTTTTATGAAAGCCAGCTCAATGTCGCCAGATGCATACATACAAATGGCATTACAATTAGCGTATTATCGTGATGCTGGAAAATTCAATCTCACTTACGAGGCTTCCATGACAAGACTATTTCGCGAAGGTAGAACAGAAACCGTTAGACCGTGCACCATTGAATCTGCTGCATGGGTCAAATCTATGGAAGATAAAAATGCAACGGTAAGATAAATATAATTAAGTCATATCGGTATCTACTTGAAAACAAAAATAAAAGAAATACGAATAACAATTGTATTTATATTACAGTTAGACGAAAAATATAAATTATTACAAGCAGCAGGACAACAGCATCAACAAAATTGTCAGGATGCTATGTGTGGCAAGGGTATAGACAGACATCTTTTCTGTTTATATGTAGTGTCTAAATATCTTGAAGTAGATTCTCCATTTTTGAAGGTATTTGATATAAAAATCTTTCAATAACAATATGAAATTATATATAAAAAAATTTAGTGATAAAGTGAACAAAAAATTATTTAGGAAGTCTTAAGTGAACCTTGGCGATTATCTACGTCTCAAACTCCGCATGGTCAAACTTCCAAATTAGATTTGAAGAAATTTCCCAATTGTATTTCTGCCGGTGGTGGATTTGGACCTGTTGCCGATGATGGTTATGGGGTTTCATACATTATTGCTGGAGAAGACGTTATATTCTTTCATATTTCTAGTAAACGCAGCTCATTAGTAACGGTAATGTACAATAATCAAATATTAAATTACCAATCAGACATGAATGAACTGATAAAAAAGTTATTTTCTAAATTAATCATTATACTGGTTATACATTTTGAATAGGATGCAGCTAGATTTGCACAACAAATAGAAAAGGCATTTGCCGATATGAAGACATTGCTTTTGGAAAGGAAGAAAGTTCAACAGCACAAGAATGGTTCTACATAAGGAATTTATTTATTGGTGCGTCAAAAGGCTATGAAGCACACATCAAAAACTGTTACAAAGTATATATATCAAAATTTAATTCTTAATATTTTAAAGAGTTCACATTGAATACATGCAAATTTGTACTCTTTATTATTTTTATACGAATAATTGTTACAAGGTAACTATATAATAGGGCATTTGTATAAAAAGAAAAGGAAAGAATTTGCTCTTTTTCCATCAATGATTTATTATATTTTGCTATGGAATAGTTTTTTTTATATATCTTTAATGTTGTTCACATCAATAATACATTTTAACTTTTCTATACACACTTCTTTTATATAGAATTTTAAAACAGGACATCATAAAAATGCTTAAATACATGTGCTAAGCATTAAAATTTTTACAATACATTTAAACAACAAAACGATAAATAATGCAATCGCATTTATATTGAAATCACAAAATATTCAATCTTTTATTTTCATATTTATTCACATTAAATATTTGCTTCGTTGATTGCAACAGTTACAGTTTTAATATGCTATTCTTATAGTGATTATCATAATTTACCGATACGTGACTGTCTTTAATACATCAAATACTATTCGAACTTAACTTTGGACTAAATTGTATTTTGATCGAGAACTCTATAATATTTATTGCTCGTATAAAAGAAACAATACGAATGCCTGAAATATTATGTGATCATATCAACTTTTAGTATAATTAAATATATTTAAGAATGCCATAAACTAATATCTGCAACCTATCAATGCAAAATTTTATAATATTTCATTTTATTTTATACTAGGAAAGTAATGTTATTATATATATTTTCTTTAATACATGTTTGTTAAAGGTATTGTTAGAGGTACTGGTGCTCTTAATTAAAAATATTTCAACGTTTGACAATGCAATTATTATTCACTTTTTATTATAGTTTTAGTTAACAAATGTTTCTGTAATCGTCTATATGCATCTAATTAAATATAAATCTTTACGATTATATGTTACTAAATATTTAATATCTTCGTAAACTGTATAAATTTTGAAAAATAATTACATATCGAGTTTGCAATTTTTAAACTTTAAACAAAAGTATTACTTATTATATAATATGAATAAATGACATATTTACGCTTTATTTTAAATAATAAAAAATTTTATTCTATAAATTTATCAATGCAATAAAATTTAACGTTTTTCTTTTTATCATATTCGTTTAAGCGTAGTCATATATTATTCTTCATTAATATTTGCACAAAAATATGTAAAATAGCAAACATTTGTAATATTTATATATAAATAGATATATACAGCGCATAATAAATAAGATAAATAATATATTATATGAATTCAATTTTCTTATTATATAATCATATAACTAATGAATCACAAAAAAAATATGTTAGATATGAGAATACATCAGATATGTATAAATATAATAACATACAAAAATTATTTCTTCTGATTTTTATCTTCTTTAGATATTTGACTTTGTAATACTTTATTTTTCTTCGCGGTTTTGTGTTCGTTAGAAATAACTACATTACGTATCGTAGAATGAAGAAATCTTTTATTAATTGTCTCTCTAGGTTTTACCCATCCTGATGGTCCCATTATTTCAGCTCTTTGCGCACCAAGTTTTGCTTCATTGAGTAGAGCTTCAATTGCAAGGCTGCATATAAAACATTCCATTAAACATAAATTAATTTTATATATACGTATGTGTGTGCATGTAAAAATTATTTTTCAAGGAGTATATAATATATCGATAAAATATTAAACATACGCGTTTAAATCCGTTGTGTTCATATTTGTTAATTTTTACTAAAGACCAATGAGCCTGATAAGAGATGAAGAGGAAAACCTATAAATTAAGAAAAGTAAATAAAATATTAAATTTAAATATGAAACACATATATATGAATGAAATTAAATATTTGAGCCAAACAGATATAAAATACGTTAAACAATCAGTCAGAAAAATGTCAATACCTTAACAATGTGTTTATAGCTGAATATTAAATTAATTGGTTATGTTAACTTCTCTGAATTAAAACGAATCAATCTTACTTGTAAGGATCAACAATCAACGAATGGTCAGGTGCATCTCGTTGCAAGCAGCGGCACGCACTGCAGTGACTGCGCCTCAAAGCAATATCGATATCTCGCAATCTTATCGATATTTCGATCGATATCCTAGAGAAGAATAACTCGAAGCATCTACTAGCGTAAAGCATCTCTAGCTGTCACAAGTTGTCACTCCTGATATTTATATATACTTATATGTGGTTATATATGTGCAACTGTATGTGTTGTATGTTTGTTTATTTTAATAGAGTTTATTCTTATTATACAGTGTGCTGCAGTGTAAGCACTTATGCAATTGCAAGGTATCAAGCTTTTTAAACTATAAACTACATGTTATGCACATCTAACCTCTAAAAAAAAAACAATACATGAATAAATAATAATAGTGTTTTCAACAAAACAGCTTTGCAAATAAAATAAATATTCTCAGTAGAAGTCATACGTTATTGGCAGAATTCATTTAAGCTGCTTTTTCTGTTAAATGCAGCTAATGTTTATTGTATTATTTACTAGGTAGCATCCTAGTAGAAAATATTTAAAACACCATTATATTTAATTTATTATGGAAATATACAGGAACCTATGTTCTACCAATGGTAGCAAAATTTTTGTTCAGCCTTACGCTTACATTTGTTTTTATCATATATAAATTAAAACACTGTCAGTTTACAAGATTTGAATCATTTTGTAAAAAATGAAAAAATTACACCAAATCAAGTCGGTAATCATGAAGTATTATTCTCGCAAACTGTCACTTATATCTTGGATTACTATGTTAGTATAGTGTATTTCGATTCTTATCATATTGTTCAAAATTATGATAATGTTATTAATTATAATTTTGTTTACTATGTTTGTAAAGGAGTCTGGGATAGCATGAACGTTTCCAAGAAATAGATTAATAAAATGACAAAGACACGAATCTTGTGAACGTTTCATTGACATCACTTTTTCTATTGATTTTAATACATTTTGGATAATAAAAAATGTCGCAAACAACAGAAATAATACAAACAACTGGAGAAATTACAGAAGAGGGACACGAAAAAGCTCAAGTCAATACTCCTTTACAAGTAGTCAGAGTACCCGTGAAACATGCCAATCTTGGAATACGTAGTCATGCGATGTACATATGCATCAATTATTTCTTTCAATTATTAATTACAGGTTGCACGTTTAATATAATATTTTTAATGTTTAATATTTTTTTTAGGGACATGAGTACAATGGTCGAACTGACATCATTCAGTACACTTGGAAAAATACAACCCTTTTTAGTTACAATCACAACCACTGCTGCATTATTAGTTGATTTACATTGTCATTTAACCGACAAAGAAATATGTGGATATTTGGGTGGACATTGGGATATTAATTCTCATAGTAGGTATATTTTGTATGTTGATAAATAAATTTTATTTTATGCTAAATGGTAATACATAAAGAATAATATTATTTATTGATGCAGATCTATCCATAACATGCGCATTTCCATGTCGATATTCTGGTAAAGATAAATCGGCTGCGGCTGCTGTAGAAGCAGAAATTGCAAAAGCCATGGAATGGAAGCATGTAACTCTTGTTGGTTGGTATCATTCACATCCCAGATCGCATGCTTCGCCATCTCTCAGAGATGTTGACGCTCAATTAGATTATCAAATTAAAATGAAAGGACCTAGTGATAACAGTTACATGCCTTGCGTTGGTTTAATATGCTGTGAGTTTCATTTTTCTTTTCACTTTCTAAGCTAATATCAAATGTATTTTAAAGAATTTAAACGTCAATTCTTAATATAATTATAGCTCCTTACAACATGGATGGTAATTGCTATGAATCAAATTTTAACGTCTTTTGGTCACTGCCACCTCCTGAAAATCGACCTCATGAATATCCACGTCCTATGCTTCTTAGCTATACTTTATCTCAAGAACATTTTCTTGCTCAGGATACATTAGAAGAAATAGTAAGCTATATATCTGTGATTAATAGAATATATTACAATCGATAATATATTATGATTCTATATTATTTATTTTCAGAGACGATGCATAGAATATTATAGGAGCGAAGGAGGTATTGATTTTACTGCTAATTTTAATAACAATACTACATACCTTGAACGTTTAAGAGTAAGTATTTTTTTTAATAAGATAGTGTTTTACAGTTAATATAAAACCTTAAGAATACAGAGAGAGAGAGAGAGAGAATGATTTTTATATTCTTATTACGCAGTGTTCTTTAGCATCCAAATTACCTGGACGTAATCGTGCTAACGGATCTTACTGGGATGTAATCAGAGAAATGATTTGTCCTGGTTCAAAAGATGGGAATACACCGGAATTTCTTACGGTTAAATTTCCACTTGTACCAGTATCCGAGTCTCTTGTTCCTCCGGTCCCACCTGGTGTTAGTCTTCCAACTTACAACGCAGCAGTCTTTCTAGCACCTGTAAACTTTAAACCAGACAGTGCGATAATTACACCTACATCTAAACCATTTGTCATGCAACCGTCTACTTCTAGAGACAATGTCAGAAAAGATAGTGCTACAGGAACAGACACAGCATCCATAACACAAATAAAAGATGCGAATACTGGTGTGTCTAAACATATGTCACCACCAGAAATGATTCGAAGTTTTCAATCGGGTGAGCTAACGGTATCAGTGAAGAACACAAAATGCGATTACGATTTTCCATCAACAGATTTTTCCAAATTACCCAATCCTGTGGGAACTGATATTACGGGTAATAAAACTCGGGCCTCAACTACCCCTGATTTTCCTTTAACGGATATTACACACCAGATAACTAAGTTTCAAGACTTTACGAAATTAGCGAATTTTTCTGCCGCCGATTTAGCAAAGTTGTCCGGTTTTCCGATGCCAGATTTTTCAAGAACATCTTCGCCCTCGCCATCGGCATATATGAGAAACATAGCTAATTTATTCGGCCCTTTTGGTAAAGTTTCACCCGCGAGAGAGACAGATGGTACGGAACGTAAAATAAGTGAATTTTCAATCGGCGAAGTTACTCAGTCGCCATTTAAACCTACGTCAGGAAACGTAGATCTTGGAAAAAATGTTTCTATTAGTGCGGAGGATTATTCCAGTGGGAAAAAATTAGACATTCAAAATGATACTAAACTTGTTCGATCCAACGAATATCAAGGAACTGAAGATCTATCCAATTCTTCCAGTATTAAATCTGATTTTGGTGGTATGCTTGACATGACCAATTTACACAAGAAACAGCAATCTCAAATCGGTGATATAAATGATACGTCGCTTAATTTATCGAAGGATCGTCAGTAATTCTTATATTACATCGATCAATTTAATCTTGACGATAAAGTACACGTGAACATTGCGAATGTTTATAATAGCATTTCTCAACCCTGTTGTTTAAAGCACTTGACGATCCCCTATACTCAAACAGATATCATACGTTTAATTAATCTAAGGTTTAATTAATTTTCGGTCAAGATAGTAGTTCTTAAAAATTTAACGTTTTGGGTTTAGCAATGCTAATTTACAATGTACTCTTTGTGAGTATTTATATGTACGCACGTGCGCATGTACTTAAATAATCATATATTTAAGGAACCTCGTATTAAAATTTATTTTTTTTTTATATTTTTCATTTATTTTTTATTTATAAAACATACTTTTTCTTCTATAAGAAACAGTACTTTTCTTATCTTCTATAAGTATGTATTCGTATGTACGTTCTTACACTGTACATTGAAAATGAATTTTAAAATGAAAAAAAAATAGTAAACTATATACTTTTGATTTCGTGAAATTACTTATACTTTACATTACATATATTATTAATGCAATTATTGATGCATTTATTACATTTTTAAAAGTAGGAAAAGATGGCGCTGCATGGCACGTTTAACCAAACGTGCTTTTTTCATGTGTTTCATGTCATGTTATACGTTTTCTATTTCAATTTAAAAAAATATTTAATTTTATTTATCTTCTCTTAAAATCAAATTTCAATGAAAGATAATAATTTCGAATTATCTCTTTTTATATTGAAGAATAAATATAAACAATATATAACGTGCAAAAACGAATGATACATTTTTAACTTGGACTCACCAAATAGGTTATGCCACTAGTTTTTAATAATAATTTAAATATAATTTGGATCTTTAACAAGATTAATATCAAACGTCGGAAAATAGAAGAATAACGAAATTAAATATTAATTGAATATATTTATATTTATATATAAAAGAAATGGATGAGTTATCAGTTACCGAAAATGAGTTGTTACAGAAACATAAACGAGAACGTAAAGAATTACAAGGTAACTTTTATTAATTTAATACTCTTCCATTAAAAAAAAAATATTAATTTACTATTGCCTTAATATTGCAAGAAAAATATCAATATTTTGCAATTAGAAAATATTTTACATGACTATATTTCCCTTAGAATTAATTAAATAAGAACTGTAACGCATAAACATTGTGTTTATTATATTTATTGCAGCACAAATACAAGTACTGAAGAAATCAATCTGTAAGGGTGATAAAAAAAAGAAAAAAGAAGTTGCGGATGAAATAGCACGCAAGGAAGAAGATTTAGAAAAGAAACAAGACGAGGAATTAGCCAGATGGAAAATATCCCAGGTAACTTTGAATGATACCGATGCAGAAAATGTAGAAGAATCGTCTAATAAAAATGACGAAATAGAATCTAAAGAATCCGAAAAAGTACAACAGAGAATTTCTAAAGCTCAACGAAGAAGATGTAAAAAAGAGAGTGCAGAGAGAGAACGTAATCAAAGAATCATAGAACAGGAAGCATTCAACATCTATGGAAAGAGAAATATTGAGATACAATCAATTAAAAAAATCCTTTACGAACGTGATTTAATGTTATATGAAATTCCAAGTGATGGTCATTGGTACGTTGAACAATAATTTGTATGTTTACGTAACGAAAACTATTATTTATTTTTTTTGTTTTAGTTTATACAATGCAGTTGCACATCAACTTAAAATGATTGGAGAAATTCCATTGAGTTTAAACGATTTAAGAATGAAAACTGCCATATATTTAAGACAAAATAGAGACGATTTCCTACCGTTTATTTCTAATCCAGATTCAGATCAGTTATTATCACCTGAGCAATACGAAAAATATTGTAACGACATTGCTGAAACTTGCGCTTGGGGTGGTGCAATTGAGGTAAATCTTGTAATAAGTTTTTTATAAAAAAAATATCGTGTTTATACATAAATATGACATTTGTAAATATTTTAAATGTGTCTAATGCAGTTGCAAGTATTGTCGCGTATTTTGGAACGTCAAATTGAGGTCATACAAGCGACAGGTACTCCCTATATCGTCGGAGATGAATTCAGTAAGAGAAAAAGAATAATATTAACATATCATCGTTACATGTATGAATTAGGTGCTCATTATAATTCAGTTACTAAATTTCTCAAAGCAGATGAAAGCTGATCGTACATTTTATTATACTGAAAAAACGTTCTTTTTAAAATGCAGTCATGAACTTATTATATAACGTAATAAATAATTCTGATTTAATTTTATGTACACATCAGATTTATTAAATACGTTTAAATCAATAAGTACATACATTGAGATAATAGCATCTGATATCTAATTTTTTCAAATCGTGTGAATATACTATCGTTAGACTGGTATTTTATATAATAGATTTAATATGGTAATCAAAATAATTCGGGTTGTCAATTTTTCATTATTTCATTATTATTATTATTTGAAAATTATACAAAATTAATTAATAAGAATGAATTAATCAACCAGTTTTTTATTTATTTTTAAACTTCTTTTACGTTAAATAAAATGATAGGATTTACTGATTTGATAAAATTTAAATATTAAGAATATTACAAAAAAAATAAATCAAAGAATTATTGCAGTTTACAAAAGAACAATTGCGGTGTTGTAGAAATATTACTTAAATGCAGTATACATATCAACGGTGTTCTAAACTAGGGATTTGTTATTCTCCGTATGTGTTAGAAATATTCTAATATTTCGCATAATAGTTCATGTATTAAGAAAAAGAATTAACTCTTTGACCAAATTATTCGTATTCAGAACATTTTAGAAAGAGAATAGATTTATATAAAATCGGCAATAATACATATAAAAATATAGAAGTGATATATCATCGATAGGATAACAAAAAGACAACAATGCCAACGGGGAGGACGTATTTCGTTGAGTGTATAATTAATATTTTTTATAAAATCCAGTAAATCGGCGAAACCTTTGCCAATTTTTACTTTCATACTTTATATTCAATTTACTTTTACACAATTTTTTATTGTGTAAATTACGTATTGATTAATAACAATACGAATGTACTGCCAATTATTGAATATGTCTTGCAGTCTAGTACTTGACTTTTACAATAATAATTTTATATTTACGATTTGGTGAATCGTTCTTTTTTGGAAGTCTTAGGATTTAAGTCGAAGTCAAATGTATATTGTCTCTTTTTCTCTCACTTCCTCTATTTCTATCTCTCTGCCATAGAATGCATATATTAAATAAATAATATATAATGTTATGATCATACTTAGTATATTATTGAAATATTGTAAATATTGATGTATGTATCAGCGTGTGTTTTCATGTGAAATAAATAATATACAAGATGTGAATGATTATCGGTCCTTATGACGACATTAATTTATTTAATTAGAATAAGAATAACTTTAATATTTTATTAGATCTTCCGCGTATGTTAGTATAAAATATAAAAGCTTTACCATTATTTTTCACACTGTTCTTTAACATTATCATCGGATGTATTTTCAGCAGATTTATTTTTATTTGGTTCATCCGGTTTCATGGCTGGAAACAGTAATACCTCCTAAAAAAATATTAATTTATTATTAATATTATAATATTAATTTATTATTAATATTATAATATTAATAATGTAGCGATTTATATTCTTTTTACTGAGATTATATCATACAAAAACTTACTTTAATATTATTCGTATTTGTCAAAAACATGCAAAGCCGATCTAAACCCAATCCCCAACCAGCGGTTGGAGGTAGTCCGTATTCTAGAGCAGTGCAGAAATTCTCATCTACCATTTGTGCTTCATCATCTCCAGCCGCTTTATCTTTCGCTTGCTGTTCGAATCTGGACAAAATTAAACAACCAGAAAATTTATAATACAAATACTTTAATTAAAAAGAAAGAAAAGAAAATAAAGAAATACCTTTCTTTTTGCACTACAGGATCATTTAATTCTGTATATGCATTACAGACTTCCTTCTTCATAATAAATAATTCAAATCGTTCTGTAAGACCAGCATCAGAACGGTGCCATTTAGCTAACGGAGACATTATTTGCGGATGATCTATTATATACGTAGGATTTATGCATTTTTCTTCTATAAATTCACTGACGAGCTGTCAATATTAGAAATATTACAATTAAATAAAATATTTGCTAATATATTTGCTATTTGACATTCTTTTATATTGATACAAATACATACTTTATCTAATAACCTAGCAGTTGTTTTTGGCGGAGGACACTCGATCTCGTGTTTAATGCAAAGATCCTTAAGTATTTCATTAGCTTCCTGTGTATCAAGTTTGTCAGCATCCGGCAATTTTACATTCAAAATTTCCTCTAAAGTTTTCATCATAGGTATCCGTTTGAATGGTGGTGTAAAATCTATTTCTACGACTTCACCATCAGGTCCATTCGGACAATATGGTATTTTATAACTACCGTGAATAGTTTTCACCATTCCAGAAACCATATCTTCCGTAATATGCATGAGATCGTGATAGTCAGCATAAGCCATATAAAATTCACATGTTGTAAATTCAGGATTATGGGTCAGGTCAATGCCTTCATTTCGAAACTGTTTACCAATTTCATAAACTCTATCTATACCGCCAACAACCAGAGTCTATATTATAATAATAATAATAATAATAATAATATAGAAGTTTATTTATTTATAACAATGTAAAAATTATACCTAAATGTATGTTAGTATCGTACCTTGAGATAAAGTTCTGGTGCTATTCGCATGTACAAATCCATGTTTAATTCATTATGATGAGTAACAAAAGGTTTGGCTGTAGCACCACCAGCTATCATATTCATCATAGGAGTTTCAACTTCTAAGAAGCCTAATTCATTCAAAAATTCACGCACATATGCAATTATTTTTGATCGAGTGTAAAATATTTGCCGTACTTTGTCGTTTAATATAAGATCTAAGTAACGTTGACGGAACCTTGTTTCCTAATAACGTTAAAGTTTATTCAAAGTATATAATTTACGTATTTACTGGTATTTAAAAATATTTACCTTATCCTTTAATCCAAAATGAAGATGCGGTAACATATGCAAACAAGGAGTAAGCAGAGTAATACTTTTAGGCATGATAGAAAATTCTCCTTTTTTGGTTTTACCAGGATTTCCAGTAACACCGATAATATCACCTCTCCTAATCTTGGACGTGTCCTTGATAAATTTATCTTCCCCTTCGTAATGTCTAGCATTTGCCATTACTTGTATTTTAACACCCTCTCCTCTCAAATCATAGAAAATAAGTTTTGCACCAGATTCTCGTATAGCGTGCACACGACCAGCTACGCTATAAATTTTATTCTCAAGGATTTCTCCTTCCTTAACAACCGAACTATACTTATCGATAAAATTTTCTAATGAAATGGATACATTAAATTTATGCGGATAAGGATTTTCATTAGCAACTTTGAGTTGATCTACCGCTTGAGTTCTCAACTTGAAATATTCCTACGAGTTAAAATCAAATATGAAATAAATGCGAAAATAGAGTTATATTTAATATATCAGTGCATTAGGAAATATTGTTTACATTTGGACTGATTTCTTCTTCCTTAGGAGCTCTTTTCTCTGGAGTTTTAACAGAGTTCTTCTTAGTTTGTGCATTTTGTACTTCTTTGGCTGTCCTTTGTACTTCCTTAACTGCCTTTACATTCAATTTTTGTTCCGCCTTAAGACGCATCTTTAATTCCCTAAAAGTAATACATAAAGCGATGTATATAAAATGAATTGTTCCTTTGTATTTTTACGAGGAAGAATTATTAATAAAAATTACACACGTTGTAAAAAATTGTCTTGAAATAGTTCGATAAAATTTTTGTTCTATTTGATTGATATGCAATTTAGTGAATATTTTAACAGATTGATTAATGCAAGTTAAAACTTTGGTTAGATTATTAGTTAACATATTTACTAAATTATCACTATACGTCTTCTTATCTTACGAGATACATATACATACATCTACAATAAAAACATTGGATTAAAAATTTTTCATTAAGTTATAAATATTTTTTATGAGGAAAAATAGCATATCAAACTAGCCAACCGTTCATAAAGCAACGTGGCCGGTCTGTATAAAGGACCGATTACTAACACATTAAAATCAAACAACATTAATGTGAACACACAAGACCAAGTAATATTTTATATTTTAATGAAATCTTTATTAACAAATATGCAAAAGAATATTAAAACGATTATTAATTAATTTACTTACTTCTTGGATAACTTTTCTTCCGTTACATCAGCCATCATAAAAAGTCTTTTCTACAATATTTCCAAATAGATGTTGGCGAAACTGAATATTTGTACATCACTTTTGTCTTTTTATAACACCTATTTAAAATATAATTAAATAGAATTTTTAAATATTCGTTAAATGAATATAATAAATCAAACGACAGTTATATTTCATATTTTTATACAAAATACATGAATATTAAATTTTGTATTCGATTAGTCAAATCGATTATTGTTAAAAGAATTTAAATTTACGCGCCGTTTATTCAATTTGGGAATACCGTAGAATTTGTTGTCATGACAGTCAATTTTGTTGATAATTGACCTGAAAAGGAATTAATTATAAAGAATAATGGATAGTTATTTTGGGTATAAAGAATTACAAGCATTGCAAAATTTATTAAATCCTCCAAAAGAAGATTCGGATTCCGAAGAATTGTATCAAAATGATGTTAAAAGAAAAGGTGAATTATTATTGTTACAACAATGAATTAATTATATGAACACGTATAAATATAAAAGAAAAATTTTACTCAAAGTGTTTTATATAAACTAACATTTTTCTAACAATCAATTTATATTAAATAATTATTTTTGTCTTTTTAAGATTCGAGTTTTTAATTCATTATATTCTTTATGTGCTGGTAACTATGACAAGGGATTAATTAAAAGAATTTTTTAAATTGATTTTATTATTTATTTTATAATAGAAATAATTTTAATATATATATAAAATAAATCATAAAATCAATTTCAAAGAATATTAATTTAATTACCGAATCATAAACAAATCAAAAAATGTTTCGCAAGCAAAGTTACCAATATCAAATAAAGAAATAAATCGTACCAATTTATTTCGCAATGGCGGTAGTTTTGAATAATTCAAATTTCCTCTTACAATATATATAAGATACTTATTTATAATTAAAAAGATTTCATTACATTAATTGTTATTGCATTTTCAGGTCCAGGTGATATTAAAGTTCAGAAAGAAGTTCCTTTGGATTGTGTAAAGCCGCACGCTCCTCTTAAAAAAGAAGATGACGATATTTGGCATTCTTCAGAAGTATCAACTCATTCTAATTTAGAAATAAACGATCCAAGAAAAGTACCGGAGTATGAAATCAAATTTAAGCAATCGGTGAAGACCGAAGATATTTTTTTAAATGTTCGTTTATTAATACGCTATTTTATCTTGTAAAAAAATATTTTGGAAAACATTGATAATATTAAATGTTGCGCTTTTATTTAGATGGGTTTTAAAACAACAGGCACTGCATCTTGCGAGTGGATTACCGTTTTAATAAAACTTCCTCAAGAAGTTCAAGAAAAAATTGAATTATCCGTTGAACCAAATGCAATTGACGTACGTAGTCCTAAGTAAGTAAATATTTTTTTTTTAATTTAAATCAAAGCTTCTCAAGGTTTCCACTTGATAACACTGTATGGGGTCGCGACCCACATTTTAAGAAGCTCTGATTCAAACAATACATATTTATTCTTATTGGATTTAATAATTGTTATTGTATGTATTATAATTTTAAAAAACGATTCAAATGTTTAAATAATTATTAATTGTAAGCAACGTTTTTACAGATACAAGTTGCATCTTCCAACGCCACACGAGGTGGATCCTAACGCATCACATGCGAAATGGCATAATAATGTCGATACGTTAGAAATCACTTTGCGACTCGTACGAGAATTAGATGGTATTAACTTTTAATAAATACATGAACGCAAAAAAAAATATCTACATATATTCTTAATATAAATTAAATATATTAGTGGAATTAATAGATAAGTAAAAAAAGAAGTAGACAAATCCACACAAGTTAACAAATAAACGATATTCGTATAATTTATGAAATTGCAAATTACATTATTATAACTGTAATAATAATCAGAGATGTCATTGTACAAGTACTTTATTCTCGGGAATAAGAATTATGGCTATTGATGATACTTTTACAATATAATCAATGTTACAAACAATCTTAAAAATAATAAGTTTCTACAAAAAATTTATATTCTACTATTTGTTCAATAGATATATAACGGAATTTTAATTTTTGTATAAACGGACTATACAGCATTTGGTATTTTTATCATACAAATTATATACTAAAGAGAATTATCGATCTCAAAAAAAAAAAATGAATGTTTCTTTTTGTACAATTTGTACAATTTATACAATTTATAAAGGCACTTGTGATAAGGGTTTATGCGTTCAGTAACAGTCCATTGAGTTTACGTCTCCTTGTTTATGCATCGTCAAGATGTCATCCAAAATAGATTCAAAACTATTAGTATATCCTTTTAACCATTGATTTTTCTCTTCTATATAAGTATCAATATCGGAATTAAATACAACATCTAAAAAGTCTTGCTTAGTTACACGAGAGATATATTTTAACATCTTCTTTTCTGTATTTTCGTGATCATTTTCTTGAGAATTATTACTATATACGTTAGCTAAAAGCTTCGCATCATTCGTATTTACAATTTCATCGATGATGTTATGAGAATTGCTTGGTTGTTTCTCTGATTGAACTGATGGCGCATCTTGTTGGACATGTTTGACATATGAATTATCTATAACAGCACTATCTTTTGGTGAAGATACTTTGAGTAATGAATCATTGAGTTTATATTTTAATAAAAATGTTTTTAACTTGTTTATGATCATTGCTGAAGCTTTGCAAACTTCAAAATCGCTATCGTCTTTTAAAGTGACTAACAAAACCTAAAACGCGAATATACAAATTAATATAGATTAATAAATAATAAAGCACACACACACACACACACACACAAATATTTATTCTACAGCTACTTACGCCCAGACAATTTTGTCTCGCAAGTTCATCCAGTGCTTTGTTTAATCTACGTTTTATTTCGTTCTCATCCAACGCGACTATTTTTCTCTGTTCTTTAGAAAATGTTACATTCGGAAACGACCCATCTAACATTCCTTGATCGCTCAAATGAGATTTGATGAAATGTTTCCAAAATTCTAACGCACTTATTTTAACTTCCCAATGTAAATCAAAAATAGCTGCTACGGACATGACTTCTGATATACAACTGATAGTATTTTTTCTGAAAATATATAATATATAGAGAAAATATAATTATTATAAATAGTATTAAATATAACAAATTTAAAAAAATATTAACGAATTTAATAGACTTACAACCATTTTCTATAAATGTATAGTTCTTTCATTAAAACCACGGCCTCTCTTCGTACTATACCTTCAGTTTCATTGTTATACAATTTTATAATTATATTCTATAAATGAAAAAAAAACATAATTTTACATATACTCTTTTATAATTATTATCAAAACTATTATTAAATTATTTCTATTGAACTAATTTACTGATAATATAAACATACGGGAAAATCAAAGTGAGATAATTTTTCATTCCATAATTTTTTTATACGAATGGTGGACGAAATAAAAATTAGAGCGGACGCTCGTACGTAGCTTTCTCCATCTGTTAATGCAATATCAATTGCCAATTCTACAAATTGATTAGAAAGTAAAAAATCTTGGAATGCTGGATATTCTGTAAATAATTGTCAAAGTTAATAATTAATAATTATATTCAATAATATTTTGATATATTCACAATGCTTACTATCTTCTGAAATAATTGCAATAGTGTTTAATACTTCTAATACACTATCTCTGACTTCCCAATTAGGATCGTGTAATCTTTTATAAAATGTCGGACCAATTTCATTCATGTGACTATCCGAATCTATGAGCAATGCCAAATTTGGTGGCATAAAGTTTTGAATAGCCAGTTTACATACTTTTAATGCTTTCACGCAAAGCTATATAAGAAAAATAAAATATTTAATATTATAGATTTAAAATTTATTAAGAATAGAATAAAAAAAAGATATTATAATTCATTAAATTTTCTTACCATAGGTAAAATACCTGGATGATTTAAAATACCTTGCGCAAGAGACAATAGACATATTGTTTCCACGCATTCTTGCCATTTTAATTTAAACTTTTCCGTTATAACAGCAAGACCATTAAGAAGTGATGCTAATAAAATAGGATTATCAACTATCGGATCACCTTCTAATATTGACTTATAAATTATTTTTCTTGAATTATCTGGGAGATTTGTTTTACTAGATTCCGATGAACAGATTTTCATTCCATCTCGTACATTTGGTAGATAATTTTTTAAAATATGACACAACGTTTGAAATGTAATAACTGCTACATCCTGTATATAAAATATGATTTCAGTTTAATTAGATTTTTGTTGTGTTTAATATTATGAAAAATATTAATCTATAAAATACTTAGAATCTCTTACCCTGTCCATAATGTTTGTTATTTCTAAAAGTAAATCAATTGATATTTTACAAATATTTTCTAATGGTAAATCACTTTTCCAAATTACATCTCTAATGTTATATAATAGTCTTTGCACGGGCATACACGTTACATCAAAAATTTTATTAATAAACATATCAAATAATTCATTCTGTATATGATCTTTTCTTACACATATACACAGTGGTAGAATCTGCAAAAAAACATTGCATAAGAATGCGTATTATATTTTTCTAAAGAGTATTTCAATGTTTAATATTATTTTACCATTAGCACTATTGCTTGATGCTCAAATTTGTGTTGTTCTGGCAAAGTAAACTCACATAGCGTACGCAATTTTTTCCAATATATCATTAAAAACTTATTAGTTTTAATAAGTTCAACAATATATTTTTTGGATAATAACATCATCGATATATAGCATATGCCATAGTTAAATTTTTGCCATACGTCATTGTCTATGGCCTTAGTGCTGCTTATGATTCCACGTTTCAATTTTAAGAAAAGTAATAACAACAATAGTTTATGTACATGCTGAAGAAACCTAGTACCAATGCATGCTTCAAAAAGTGCTTTAACTCGCATTTCTAATTCGTACAGTCCTTCGAATAATTCTGGTATCTTACTATCCATGCTTATAAACAACGTGTTTTCAAAAATACTGGTGATTAAACCTAAAGTATTACATAGAAATTCGTTTTCACCTAAGTAACTATCTTCTAAACTTTGTTGTGTTTGAGAATCATAATTATTTTTTACTAATGGATCAGCTATAGCTGATATAATTTCCATACAAATATTAATATTCTCTTGTTCGTGTAAGAGAAGAGTCCACAAAAATTTTTGACTCTCGTGGGTAATGTACATCGTATAATTTTTATGAGCACACTTTACGATATCTTTCCAGACACCTAAATATAAAAGAAATATTATAAAATATACAAATAATTATCAAATAATAACAACAACCTACCTGACCGAAGTACCCATTCTCTACCACTTTTATGTTTAATTAAATTCGATAACATTTGGGTATAAGCAATTATAACAGATGCAGATAAATGTTCATTGGAAGGTTGAATGATAGCGCAAAGTTTGTTATAGACATTATGATGTTGCCATCGGTGAAAATCTATTTCGTTGGAAGCAACTATTCCAACGAGTTTTAACGTAAATATTATTATAGGTCTAGATGGCTTGCTATTAGAATCCCATGTGTTTAGTGCTTGCATAACCCATTCCTGAAGAACTTCGTAATGTCGTTGATTTGATGAAGCTAAAAACATCAATTTCATTTAATTATTTTATAATATGTACAACAATTATAATAAAATTCTATAACAATATTTATTTATTATCTTACATTTTTTATTTAGTAATTCTTCTATGTGAGTCAATAGAAGATCAAGGTAAGTTACAGAAGTAATGTTGTAGTTTGGTGAGAGAAAAATTTTCAAAACTTCTAATAACCTTTTATCTGTCTCAAACGATTCCATTTTATCTGATTCACTGCAATAAATTCTCTTTCTTTCGTAGTCAATTTATAAGCACGCACGAGATCTAAACATTTTATTATTATCACTATTAATTTTATAAGAAGAACTAAGCATTTCTAAATAACGAATGATTGCATCGTCGCATGAGGCATTTGATTATATATCACTATCAAGATTAATAAAAATTAAATGCAATGTTCAGCAATTATTATCCATTGATGTAACAAGAAAAAAAGAAAAAATTGAGAAAAAAAAAATGAAAAGTGTAGTAAATAAAATGTGTATTGATAACACACGCTTATTCACAATGTTAAATTTTCATTGTGTTTGTCGTCGTGTTTTGTTGATTTTACTGTATCTATATATGATTCATTTAAGCGTTTAAAACATGAATCGAGATTAGAATAATCACGAATACGTGCCAGTATATATGTAGTATTACGTCTTATTTATAAAAATCTTTCTTCTCATTGGCCACGTTACATCGATAGAAATTATTATTGTACATGGAAACGTTTATTGATAATTATTTATTCTGAAAGAGGTCGCAGTTAATCGTTATATTTATGGAAACTAATGCCTAACACCAAAAGTGTTCAAGAATAAGCCATTTTTATTAAAATAAACTATATATTTATTAATTTTATTTACAATATATATTTATAAGTATATATAATTAATATATACTTTATTAAATTTATTCCGTAATATCTTTAATATTTTCTATAAACAGGATTGTCTCCTTTTCGTCTGCTATATCTTTCATTTGTTATTGGCTGGGCAACTGACCAATCGACTTGAGCCCTTTCGATAATCCTTCGCGCTCTGCTAATGGCGGTACTTACAAAAAATGGTGTGTCTTCATTTT